GGAATGAAAATAGCAGGATTCTTTTTGTGATGAAATTTTTTAAACATCTTGTTTACATGAAGTTGATATAACCTATTTGTCTAATTATATGTATTTCTATGCTTTTCTTGTGCTATATTCTTTGATGTCTTCTTTATGCTAGGCGCAAGAGTCAGCTTTGAGATTAATGCCGGACATTGTTGTGGCTACTCCTGGACGCATGATTGAGCATTTACGCAATTCCATGTCTGTGGATTTGGACGATCTTCCAATTTTGATCCTCGATGAGGCAGATCGTCTTCTGGAACTGGGATTCAGTGTTGAAATTCAGGAGTTGTTAACTCCTTCTGATCATATCTATTTCTATATATGAGTTGTATTCATAAGTGACTCTCTGAATTAGTTAGAAGATGAGGATGAGTAGTTTACCCCTGACTTCCTAAATTGATGGGCATTGTCTAATTCTTATGACATATTATGGGCTTTGTCTAATTCTTATTATGTAGTAGGATGCAGGTAAAGCTGGTATCCATCTTTGAAGCAGTTACAGTTTATTCCACCAGGAATAGCTAAATGAAAATATGTCTTCATCCATAGATGAAATGTTTGCCACTGTTAGATCTAAGACAGATCTTAACCATTAGACAAACATAAACTAGTTCATTTTCCATTTAATAGCAATAATTTCACTTACTAATCTACATTTTTGTGTTTATCTGCTTTGAATTGAAATTGTTCTTAGCACTTGTATGTGATCTACTACAACTTATCTACAGATTCGTCTTTGTCCTAAAAGGAGACAAACTATGCTGTTTTCAGCTACAATGACAGAAGAAGTTGATGAGCTTGTCAAGCTTTCTTTGACCAGGCCCTTACGTCTCTCAGCTGACCCATCAGCTAAACGGCCATCAACATTGACTGAAGAGTAAACTCCTTTATAATTTCTCAGTCTACTCTGCTTGCCAATTTCCACTGTTGCATATTCTGACCATGTTATCATTAATATTTCTCATGCAGGGTTGTAAGGATACGTCGAATGCGTGAAGTAAATCAAGGAGCAGTTCTTCTGTCGTTGTGTTCTAGGACCTTCACATCCAAAGTGATTATCTTCAGGTTCTTATTACACATTTGTAGATGGTCATGATGATTTGATGTATATATCAAGTAGGATACTCAGATGTTTGGATAGTGTCATATTTCATTAATTTGCTTTGTCTCTCTTATGAACGAGCACACTGGTCCTGAGGAAAAATTTAGGATCTATATAGAAAATATAATTTCTTTCTTTGTTGTTTCAGTTTAATTTATAACAAGGTTTTTTACCAACCAGTTTTATTTAACCCCTGCGTCACTGGGCAAACCTCCTTTTTTTCTCCTGCTGATGATCCCATCCATGAAAGCTTCCAAACTTGTTTTTGAACTTTGTCAATTACATGACTTTAGAAATGATATTCCATCTCATTTTGCAGTGGAACAAAACAGGCTGCACATATGTTGAACATTTTATTTCAGTTAGCCAGGCTTCAAGCAGCTGAGCTTCATGGAGATCTTACTCAAGTCCAGTGCCTTGATGTGAGTAGGTTCTATAGGTGTTCTTTAGTCCTTGCTCCCTTCGGGGAGAGGGGGCTTCTTGACTACATTTCCTCTTTAAATTTTGTCCTCTATTAGGTATTGGCATTTTGAAGTCATTGGAAAATGCTTTTTGTTGCTTCTGCCGTTTTTTTCTCCACATTTTAATTCCCTACTTCTCATCAATGGTTGTTTGTGCAGGCTTTGGAATGTTTTAGGAAGGAGGAAGCTGATTTCTTAATTGCCACTGATGTGGCTGCTAGTGTAAGTAGCTACTCTAAAAGTCAACCTTATGTCCTCAAAAGTTTGTAAACTTCCATGTGCCTTTGTTGATGATTGTTGTATCAGTCCCCTGCATTTACATGCATACCTCGCAATATATCCAATATTTTCAGCACTGTTAGCTGTATTGTTTTCTGACACTTCCTTCCGAAGGGCTATAATTTGTAGGGACTTGATATAATTGGTGTTCAGACAGTTATTAATTATGCTTGTCCTTGAGATATTGCAAGGTAGATCCACACTCTTAGAAGCATGTATGACCATTGTGCATCATCTTTCTGTTATCAACAAATTCTTTGGGACTTCCTGTCTTTGATATGCACGATGCTCAATTTGCAACGAGATGACCCCATTGTTTGTTCTTTATGCAGCTATGTTCACTGAGTGGGTCAGACAGCAAGAGCTGGTAGAGAAGGATATGCAGTTACATTTGTGACTGACAATGACCAGTCTCTATTAAAAGCAATTGTGAGTAATGGTCTTCATTTGGCATCCTAGGCATTCTGTATTAGGTTCTGCTTCATGAAATTTTTGGCATGAGAAGTGATTGTGCATGTGACTACTGGTCCTTATGGAGGTAAAGAATCATGATGACCTGAATAAAATCACTTATGAAACTTCAAATTGAGATATGTTTTAAGGTCAAAATATTTACTTCTCACTCCAATACTTTGTTAAAGTTCAATTGCATCAACAATCTAAAACAGTTTTTGGAGTAAGTAGCTGAACATTTCCCATCAGAAATTTGAAATTTCTCTTGCTTATAACACTACTGTGGGGTTTAAATCTGATAGGCAAAGAGGGAGGTTGAAAATTGAAGAGTTGGATTGTTGCAGAGCAGTCTATTGCTAAGTGGTCTCAGAAAATTGAGGAGATGGAAGACAAAGTGGCTGAAGTTATTGAAGAGGAGAGGTTTAGTTTGGTTTTGTTTCATATTCAAAGTTATATTTCTGTTGTCTTCTCTGCTACTATTATAGATTATAATTTCTGCACGGCGGAGTGAGCCCTAAGATAAGCTGAAATGGAAGCAACAAAGGTACTTGATCTGCTCTCATTCATGCTATTTATATTTAGATTTCTGAGAAAATATTGCTGTGCATTTCTACTGATTCCATATTTCTGTGTTATTATTTGTCAGTTTATTTATATTTTCAATGGCTGGTTTATAGTTATCATTTTCAAAGCCTAGTGATTTTTTTTCTCATTTTGAGACATGATGGTTTAGTATATGTCAACTCATTAGCTTCAATGATGCAAGGCTGAAAATATGGTGGCACATAAGGATGAAATTTATGCACGACCTAAAAGTACCTGGTTTATGACAGAAAAGGATAAAAAGCTTGTAGCAAATGCAGCAAAGGTAAATAATCCTTGCACCCGAGTTTTGATTTGCATGTATTGCTGTCACCAGTCCATAAGTTGCCATTTGTTTAACAGCATTTTGTATTTAGCCACTTTTATGTGACAGAATTTTATTAATGACTTGGCATTATCTCATTTTACAGGCATCTATAGAAAATGAAAAAGGTTCTGCAAATGCTGTCATTAGTGCCCAACAAGCCGAGGACCTTAAGATGAAGGTAAAGAGGAAGCGAGAGCGCGAGGTCATACATCTTTCTCATTTCAAAATTTGCTTTTATAACTTTTGCACTGTGCACATTGCTAACATCTGTTGAACAGAAAAATTTACCTCGGAAGAAACGTCAAAAACTGGAAGCAGCTAGAGAAATGTTTGAGGATCAAAGTGAAATTAATGAATCAGAAGTACGCATCTCTTGCTTTTTTGGAAATCTAATTCTTTTTAGGCTGTATAAAGTTACTTCGTCTGGGTTTCTTTTTGACAACATTTTATTAAGACTCTTTCCCTTCTTGGCCGCCAAATTTGAATGCTGTCACAATGTTTCTTGCTCAACATTGAAGGATTTTTAACTGTTGATTTTTTTCTTTTGGTTATGGGCCAGCAAGTTTTCTTTCTTTACTTTATGGTAGCATGTGATATTCATACGTGAGAAATGCAAGGTAGTGGGAAAATTAAGAAAGAAAAGGTAGGGGATATCTTTGGTTGACTTGGCTTACGGGCGAGCAAAAGCAGCAAAAGCTGTTAAGAAGGCACTGGATTCTAGCAAAAATGTGAAGAAATCCAAAAAAAAGTCAAAGCATGCTAACCAAAGAACTCCATCAAGGACAGAAGAGATGCGTGAGCTATTCCAAAATGACATGAGAGAAGGTAGAAAAGTAATAGCGGTGCAGGAAGGAAAAAGTCCAAGAGTTCATTTAAGAGCAAATCACGGTATAAAATCTGATATATTTCTCTAATCATTTTTCTGACTTGGTTTTTTTTCAAAGATCCATAATAACTGTATTCTGGATTCAAATCAAGTGAGAGAACATTAATTGGCATATTAAACCATTAGGTTGGTCATAGAATCGGGATTTAGCATCATTTGTATAAATGCATTTTATAAAACCCTTTAGCACAACTTCTAATACACTGTATTAGGGTGAGTTTCATTTTACGTACAGCATTAGCATCGTAGTTTCTTTCCCTCTTTGCTCTAGCAAGTTTTCTAAGTAGATTCTAAACCTGCTATTTCTGAACACTTGTAGGGAAAATGTATGCTCGGTATAATCATCGTTCCTTTCTCAATTTTATTGTAAATCTTTGCCTTTGTATTTTATTTTTTGTTCTTGTTAACTGCTGGTGTTAATTCTACATTAAAAAAATGCTAGAATTTTATTTTTTATTAATATTTTATTTCTTTTGCAGTTACAAGCTCAGATAGCACAAATTACCTCAATTTTGCAGCTATTTATGTTAGTGGGAGCAGCGGATGGGACATATGGTCCTGTCAGTAGACACTTCCTCTTAAAAGGTGACGGCTCTTTGTAATGGAGAGTAGGAAGCATAAGGATGTCTTGTGCATTGTATAATTCCATTTTAGGGTTTGTTTTCAAATATTGGTAGCTATTCATTGTTAATGCTTTCAAAAACATCTTCAATGAAGGACAATTTTGTTCAATTTGTTATTGAAGTAATCCCCTGGAGAAGCATGTTTTGTGATTTGCAATAGCCCAACATTTGTCAGTCTGAAATTAAAAGTGTTAATAATCAAAATTATTCTTGCCCGCCAAAAAATAAAAAGAGGTAGAAGATCTAAGTTTCTTTTAACTTTCTTTGAGATATATGGAAAATAAGTTAACAACTAATGTGCCAAGCCTTCTATGGAACACAGAAAAGGAAAACAAGAAAATAAGCCAAAACTAAAACAATTAAAACCTAATTTCTTCCTCTTCCTTAATCAATCTCATGAATCACATTACATTCGTAATTTTCCTATTTTATTCAGTTCAACTCCCCTCCCATGGAAGCCAATGGGCTCTTGATTTTCCAGGTATCTTTTGCAATGCAAGCATCAATTAGCTTGGACTAATGAACTGATCCCAAGAGAGGAAGGAGCAAGATAAATATGAACTTACTATTTCCATGGAAATGGCTGCTGTCTGTAGTTAAATGGGCATAGCTCCCATCCACCGTCTGGTTCTTTCCTTTTTGCACCTACTCCAGAACTAGAGGGTTGTGAGTTTGCCCTCAAATGCTCTTCCATTGACCTGCCTTGACCAGGCATATTGAAAGGCATCCTTAAACCCATGGAATCTCTATTTCCTCCCTCAATTGCTAATCCAGAATTCAGATCAAAATTAGGCCGTGAGGGGCCAGAACCATTTAAACCAACATGTGCATTGCTTAAGCTCATTATTAACTGCGGTTGAGAGTAAGGGGGAACAACTGATGTAGAGCCCATAATTTGAGGCACAACAGGTGATCTTGAATCGACCATATAGGGGATTGAGCCACTAGCTGCATAAATGGCAGAAGAGAAGGACATCGTTGGCGCCATAGCCAGTCCATTATAACTAAAAGCAGGAGATTGTGTATATGACACAGTGGGACCCAACCCCATCAACCCTGCAGTTCTTGTGATGCTTCCACCAGTCGCAGGCTCATGAGCCTTGCCATTTGGTAAGGAAAAAATCTGAGAAACAAAATCCTTCCTATTGACTTCCACTTTGGTACCCATTATAGAAATAACAGGATCATTTAGTTTAGGCCCTCCATATGCATCCACATTTTGTGAAGATCTACCATGGCAAGGCCCTTGTTCTGAAGCATCATTGTGACTATATGGTCTGTCATTCAAATCGATGTTCCTTAGAGAAGGCCGCATTGATGAGGATGACGAGGCAGGTGATGGGCTACGATGCCCATTCCTGTTGTAAAAGCAACGTCCCTCTACTCTTGAATCTAATGCTAGAGCATCACCATCATCACTGCTACGATTTAAATCCAACTTAAGTCTCTCACACCTTCTAGGACTCATTTCCAGTGAAGATTCTGCAGAACGGAGGCCTGATGAGGCTGTAATCTGTTTCCTTGACATTAGTTCAGCACCCTTTTCATCACCAGCCTCACAAACATTAAGATCGAAATCAAGGCAGTCCAGCCTTTGTTTTGAGCTACTGCTTGTTCCTCCAATGGATAGACTCTTATCACCATCAGAGTTTCGGCGAGGCGAGGCCGGCCGAAAAGCACTTGTGGCTGCAGATCCTTTCCATCCAAGAGACCCCTCAAACTGTAGAGGAGCTGCAGGTAAGCAGGGAGCTGCTGCCGCCCTTGAAGCAGAAACCACTGAAATGGGGGTGGAGATGGAATTCACAGCACATTCCATATCATCAGAACAGACTTCTTGGTTCAGATCAAAATCACATAGGCTTTTCTCCGTGTTAAGTTCAGGTTCTTGAGCCACAGTAATCTGAGAGGACTCCATATCATGCAAGTGATTTTCTGGTTCATAGTCAGCATTATCTGAATTAATTATGCGCCCCTCCAACTCTGTATATGCTCCAGCCGACGGATTGGGTCCAGTTGACACCTCCTTTGGTATGATCTCAATGGGAATGTCTTCTTTTCCATTTATGGATCCTGAGGTACTGGATTGCCTAATTCCACCTTCCAAAATTTTCTCTGAAGAGCTGCAGGAAGGGTCTCTATCATCTATGACTTCTTGCTCCACCTCTTGAGCAACTTTTCGAGCAACTTCTAGAGCATCAACTATGCCATACTCAAGGTCAATATCAGACATTCTTGTATCAATCACATCAGGACTACAGGTAAACCTGGAACCACCCCTCAAATCCTCAACTCCACAATTCTCCTTATCTTCATCTGCTGTTCCATTGTCTTCCATCCTGGACAAGGTAGTCCCCAGATCCTCAGGCTTTCTATATATAATCTCATTGTCGGAGGAGCTCCGCAACATGCTCGAATGAGACTCACCATTTTTACCTGCAGTCTTGAATAGCTGTGAACCAGTGCCCGAATGATTCACAGCTGCCATATCACCCATTGCCTTTTTTGGCTCAGATAAAGGCATCCTCTCATCTGCAAGAGCAACAGGTTTTAGAACATCACTCTTATTAGCTTCAGAATCATTTTTGGAATTGGGTTCTGTTGTAGCCTCCTTCGAACTATTATGACCGGCATTGGAAGAAACCAGTACATGTTCCACAGTACTCGAGTTTGAAACTGTCATACCCAACTGCTTTTCATCACTTGATAACCCATTCAACTTCTTAGCATCTGAAACTTCAATATTTTCTTGCTTTAAATCTGGTAAACTGCAGGCCTCAGGGGAAGCAGTTTCTTCCACAGTTTTTGCTGGAAGATCTTCCTTCATGGACAAATTTTCTTGAACAGGATTTGACACGAAAGAGGAGGCCATATGATTTGGTGATCTATTTTCCATGTCAGAATGGTCTGAATTTATGTGGGACTCGAGCTCATCATTAGTAATTTCAATGTGTAAATCTTTAGCACTCTCTGGTTGAACACCATCTAGACTTGAAGGAAGGCTTTCAATTTTAGCAGCATCTGCTCCATTTTCTTCATGGGCGCTTTCTGTTGAAACAGGACCATCTTTGCCAGAACATTCTGGCCCACTATTTTCTTCAATAACAGGTGCACTATCCAAAATCCTATAGTCATGTCCACCACTACCAGCACCACCATGAACATCATGAATAACTCTACCTTCTTTCCAGTTATCTAAAAGCAACCTAGCTCTGTCCTGAACTCTAGAGCTATTGTGGCCAAGTAGATTCTTGACCGTAATCCAGATCTCTGAAGAAATAGACATCTCATTATTTCTATGCAACTTTTCAAGTGCTCGTAAGAGTGCAGTAATTGATTCTTCCACAAAACTGTCACTTAAGTCATTACCAAATTCTTGAGCATCCTTGAGCCATCTGTCAAGAAACCAGAGTCCATCTAGTTGAATAAAAAGATTGAGACAGTCTTTATTCTCAGTGGTTGCAATTGTGCTTGCAACAGCAGCCCACTGCCGGGTTGCATCACTGATATTCTTAACAATAGAATCTTTCTCCTTCTTCATTACAGTTAGTAGCTCCTCAACTCGTGAAGGGGCTGTCAGCCCATCTTTCATCTCAGTCAGGGTAAAAAAATCCTCCAGCGTCATGGTGCTTCAGATGCAAAACCACCAAACACAGAAGACTTTGTAACATACAGACAAATTTTGTTCCATCTAGAACACGAGTGAAGCCTCAAGACAACATCTAAAAAGAAACCTGTAAAATGGCATGACATAAATGGTTAAATTCTGCAGCTCCAAATTTCAGATATTAGGTTCTTTATCAATTATGATACCAAATAAGTGCTCAAATGTTACATCTTGTCAACAAACTAGTGGTATTGAAAGTCACTACAGGGTCCCACATCAGACTGTGTAGCTTAGCTTAAGACAGGATTCAAGAAGAAATATATTGACAACACTACATTTCTTGAAAAGAATATTTTAGTTACAGAATACAGCAATCATTTTCCATGCAAGCAATAAAAATTAATTCAATATGGAAGTATGAAGTGAAGCTCATAAAAAAAACTGCTTTCCTCTGTAGATATCCACCAATCAGCAGCCACAGTTATTTGATTCTGTATTGTGAATATGAGTCTATAGTGTAGATGGAAAAACTTATTGATTGAATTATCATATAGAAAACATGCATTTATCCAAATATTGACAGCCAAAAGCTTTTATGAGCGAATATGTAAGAGGTAATAAAAATAATAAAACAGTAGGCAATACACTCTTTTGTTTTGGTTCCAATTCTACTGCAATGAGGACAAGCTTTTGTAATGTGAATTTTAATGCATGCCACATCGGTACCAATAGGCATGATATAGACAATTAGACACCACTTGCCATGCCATAATGGGAGTGTGTGAGGAGGCTGTGGACTGGTAGGCCAAAGAGAAGGCATTTTGTTAGACAACTAGAGAAAAACTCTAGTGAAGGCTAGTGCCACTAAAGCCCCATTAGCCAGGGCAACTGTTAGAACTTGAGACTTTCAACTAAGTGTAATGTGGAGTTTATGGGACGGCAATGGCTACCTTCTATCCTGTAACTGAAAGTTAAATGGAACTCCGAATGTGCAAAAAAGAATTATCAATGAGTAAACTCCTAATGTACAAAATTTCATCCTTATTTCTGTATCGAGTATCAACTCCCCTCCCCTAAAGGAAAGAGGGTGATTGATCGATCCAGAGAGGATATAACAGCAATTTGAGAGTTCAATAAATTCTCAGCATCCCTAGAACAATGCTCTCACATAGAGAACCATAAATTCCTTGACTTCAAAAAATTGGTCATCAATTATCAACATGAAAATAAAAAGGAAAGAAAATAAGCTAAAACAACCATACTATACTTTCCAATCAAGCTGATCATGCAAACAAATAATAAATTGTCAATAAAAACAGATTCAACAAACAAAAATGATGTCACTCCTCAAAACCTGAAACAAAAGAACTTACTAGAACCTCAAGCTTTTAAAAGTATCACAATTACCAGAAATTTCTTTGATTTCCAAATAAATTGAATTTCCGTCCTAAAATATAATTAAGCCAAAAATAAAATAACATACAAAAACCTATGCATAACTTGTGGACCAACAAACCAAAAACCCGAAAAAGTAACGATGTAGTTCCTCCAATTTCCTTAAAGAGGTTAACAGGGCAAAGACAGCAATTACCATACAAAGAGAAGATCCAACCCTAAAAATCAAAAACCAGAAGAAATAGCTCGGCAAAACCCTAGCTTTATTGCTCTATATCTTGCGAAGTGCTGTGAATTGAAAAGATATCGAATTGAATTATGATTATATCAATTAATGCAGAGATATAGCTGATTTTGAATGACACTAATCCTCAATATGCAAATAAAATTGATAAAAAAAATTTTCAAGAAATCGAAATAATTACAAGCGTGACACGTAGTTTACCATCATAAAAGGCTTCAAAAAAGGGAATAACGAAACCCTAGCTCCTAAGCTCAGCTCCAATAGAGAGACGACGCTACACGTGTTTCTCTCTTCTGTTCTCTACCCTTTGGCTTTGAGCTTTCCCTCTCTGTGGAGATAGTGTTTTTCCTTTTTGAGGCTTTATTTAATTTTTTTAAACCCTCGCTTTGTCCTCTGTGAAGCCTTTTCCGAACCAGCTTGAGAGCGAGAAGAGAGAGAGAGAGAGAGAGAGAGAGAGAGCAATGTTTCTCTCTCGTAACCTTTTTTTTTTTTTAATTTCTTTTCTGGTTTTTGCTTAGTTTGATTTTACATCGACAATTTTCTTGTCGGTTTTAATTTTAGTTTCGCAGTTAAGGGGATGGCACGTGCAGCGCGTGCGAGAGGGTGAGAAACGCTGTCCATATCGGGTCGGTTGGTCAAACCGGATTTTTTTTTAATAAAAAAAAGACAACAGTTGCATCCGAAAAACAGTCAATTCGGTTGATGAGTTTACGGTGAAAGAAAGGACGATGGTGGGACATGGTCTACGGCTCTAAGCCCCCCCCCCCTTTTGAAAAGGAGAGGAGCTTATCGTTTGTTGCTGTCACCCTCAAAACTGAGGTCCCCCACTAAGTTTTACAGTCATGTGTCGCTTACACGTGTGATTGTATTACGTAATTCCATGATTTCATGTCCAAGATAAATACCATGCACACTAAAACCTAAAGTGCTAATAGTTATGATCCAATCGAATTTAATTTAATTTTTTATAATATATAATATTATAAATTTTATAAATTCAATTTAATTTATTGATTTTTATATTTTAACTTTTGTATATATTACTTTAATACAAATTTTAATATATTTATATAAAAAACAATTTTATTTTATAAAAAATTTAAAATATATAGAAAATAAATAAAATATATAATTCAATTTAATCCATTTTTTTAATTTTTTACATTTTTATTGAAAATTCAATTCAAATTTAATATATATTTAAATATCCAAATTTATTCAAACTAAATAAAAAATAATAATCTGAATCAAATCCCACTAAACATTATAATTCCAAATTAATTTTTAATCTTTTCATGTTTTTTTTCAACCTCCACTAGAAAATACAAATTGATTGCACCCAAGCCCCATGTTTTGATGAAGCCCACTGATTACAAAAGTCCATCTTTCAGGAGCCAATCTCTTTTCATCATTGGTTTTTCCTTTTCCTTTTTCTTTTTCAATTTTTATCTAAAAATTGTACTATAAGAATCAGTAAGTAATGCACTAAACAAATAGATTTTTATAGCAATAATGAAGCATGAAAGTCTTCCTAAAACTATCTTAAATGTCGGAAAGTGGTAAAGAAAAAAGACGATAATATTATGGTTTGACAGGATCGACTAAAAGTAGGCAAAAGGATAAAGCAAAAAGGATTTGTTGAGGTAATCAGTGAAGAAGTATGGATTGAAAAAATGGGTGCGGTCATGCATCCCACTCAGTCACAAGTTTTAAGTAAGAAACAAAAAGTTATTAAATTTTCTAATCAAAACTTCTGAAAGGAACGCAGAATGATGACAGCTTGACAAAGTAGCATTAATTTAACTATATAATCAAAGGGAACATCAGCAGCCTTGCGGCTTATGGACCAACATGGAAGGCGTAATTTTCAGGAACTTGTTAATCATCAGCTTTGAGATTTTCAATCTCGGAGTTCCTGTTGGGTTCTGAGGTAAGAACTTTGAAAAAAGAAAGGACTCCAACTTTTGGGTCTCAGTAATGTAAGGCGAGAGATGATAGGCGCTTCTAGTTCGATTTGTGAATAGAGACCATCGTCAATGGTTTAAAACTCAGACCAAGTCGCGGACCCAATAAACACAGCAATGGTCCCAAACTTTAAAAAGTGGGTTTTGTTATTTGGGTCAACAGGCCTGAACTTTTCGTCCCAGTAATGTAGAGCGACAGGTAGTTCTAATCTGAATCCTGAATCGAGATCATTGTAAATGGTTCAAAAGTCCGTCAAAGTTAGAGACTCAAAAATTAAAAACGATAACTGTTCGAATTAATTTATTTTTTAAAATAATATATAATATTATAAATTTTTTAAATCAAATCTAAATTCAAATTAATTTTTTTTTAAAATTGGTTCAAACTAAATTCCATCAGTTAGGAACGATTTATCGATTTTTAAATTTTTTATTTTTTATATATTATTTTAATAAAATTTTTAATCTATATAAATAGATTTATATATAAAATAATAATTTTATTTTATAAAAAATTTTAAAAAATATAAACAGTAATAAAAATATATAATTAGATTCAATTTCTTTTTTTTAATAACTTTTTATATTTCTTTTCAAAATTTAATATTAATACAAATCAAATAAAAAAATTGATTTGAAGCAAATCAAAAAGAATAATTTTAAATTAATTTTTTATTTTATTTTATTTTTCACACCCTTATCAAAAGCCACAGCAAGCTCCTCTGGCTTTCCTTCGGACTTTTGAGAGTCCTCTTAAAAAGCACCTAACGATTTTTATCGGTAATTAAAATGATCAAAATTTGAATTTTAAAACGATGATAACAAAAATAATCTAACAATTTACATCTCCACAAAGGAATGTTAAGGAACTAGATAACTTTCTTTCTTGATTTTAATCAGGTGAGCCAATCATAACCACCAATATTTTAAAACTAAAATATAAACTATACATATAATACAATCAGATGATGTTCAAGAACATTGGAATTGAAGTTGAATTTGAAATCAAACACAAATCCAATTTAGAACAGTCAGGTCAAACCTCATACAAAGCGCCACACCAAACTCAGCTTGCTTTACATCCTATATTCCATGCACTCATGGTTCAAAACTCTGCAACAATGGTATTTGGAGATTTACAACTGGATTAACAAATGCTACTAATAAATAATCAAGAAAAATGCAAAGGAAAAGCAAAATAAAGTAGTATCAAATATACAACTTTGTCAATTACTTCCACACCGTAGCTTTAAATACACCAGTTTATCAAACAAAACGAGGAAAAGCAGCAATTTTGGACTAACACAACACTCAAGATTCTCCCGCCATGGGAAGTTAACCTGATATTTTCTAATACCCAAAACCTTGGTTAGAAAATTATTACAGTTTTCTATGTGTTTATTTAACAGCAAAGGCCCTGAGCTGATGGCTGACTAGGAATTGAGCATCAAAAGGTGAGGAGGCTTGGCCGTGGGGCAGACTGTGGAGGATTGGTGAGCATGTGAACAACTTCTCTCATGGTGGGCCTAGCAGAGCTCTCATCCTCAACGCACATCAAAGCAACCTTGAACAGATGGATGACACCAGTCAACGGATACTCAGTTAGCCTGGGATCCACAATTGCCAACACTGAAGCAGGATCGGACGGCTGAGGGAGTTCTGACGTGGTTTTCCTGACCCACCTCACAATGTCCACCCCATCTCCAAATTCCCCTACAGGTTTTCTTCCTGCTATCAGCTCCAGCATCACAACACCAAAACTGTACACATCGCTTTTTTCATCAACCTTCAGTGTGTAGGCGTATTCTGTTGTACATCACAACAACCAGAGAGAATTAATTTAAGAAAGACATATTTTAATGGCCAAAAACTTTTGAATTTCAAATTCTTCAATTGAATTGAGATTAATGTTGATTAAGCAGCTTTTTCCGGACATTATAGAGATAAAAATCTTTTCGTCACTATGCATGCCTGATCGGGCCTCCAGAAGGGCCTGGACAAAGTTATTAGAAATATATTATCAAAGCCCATGATTGCTGGCAGGCAAACCCATACTGGCTTCTAATCTATGTCGATGATAGTTACCCCATAATTCATCAAACCAGCCCCAAGTCCCTAGTGCTGCCCCTTAAGTAGGCCCAAAAGTCCCATATTTGAAACAAGAAATCGGACAACATAATGCACATTTCAACACAAATAAAGATAGCTCAATTCAAACTTCAGAGTCACGCTGTTACTGAAATTGTAATAATGAAGAATACGAAATTTATCATCATGGCACCCAACAAGAAAAGTAAATAAAGTCTGGGTCACAAACCTGGAGCGATGTAGCCGTAGGAACCAGCAATGGAGGACATGCACTCGGATGCACCAGCATCCTGCAAAAACTTAGCCAGCCCAAAATCAGCTACATGAGCTTCATAATCTTCATCAAGCAATATATTATTCGACTTCACATCCCTATGAATAATTAGAGGCGAGCAATCATGGTGAAGATAGCACAGTCCCTTGGCAGCTTCCATGGCAATCCTATACCTCCTCTCCCATTGCAAATGTGCACCCTTTGACCCATGCAACATTTCTCCTAAGCTCCCATTAGGCATATACTCATATAACAACAGATTCGTGTCCTTATTCGACACGTAACCCAACAGTCTCACAATGTTCCGGTGCCTAATTCGACCAAGAGTTTGAATCTCCGCCGAGAACCCATGATCGCTTCTTCCGGTTCCACGACCCACCAATCTTTTAATTGCCACATCAAGGCCATGCGGCATGGAACCGCGGTAGACAATCCCAGCTCCACCTTTCCCTATAATATTCTCTTCATTCAAGCACTCTAGCACGTCCTCAGCTTTGAAATCTAACCTTTGGAAAGCAGTAAGCTTCCAGGCTCGTGATTTTTGAAGCCTCTTCTTTCTCATTCTGTAAACCGTTACAATTATCAATAACAAAGCTGTGATTAACGTGATGATTGTGATTATGAGCTTTGAAGCAGTGAAAGACGTTGCGTGGCCATGACCTGAACCTTTAGCTTTGTTTATCAAAGCTGGACAAGTAACGTGGCGCGGTGGACAGAGGTTGGGGTTTCCAGTAAACGAGCTGTCGTTGAAGACTAAAAATTGACCACCACTGGGGATTCTGCCAACAAAATTATTATACGAGAGATCAAGAGTTGTGAGACTTATCATGAACCGGATTTCAGCAGGGATTTCACCAGTTAGCTGGTTTCTTGAAAAATTGAGAATGCTTAAATCTTTCAGCTTGTCAATGCCTTTTGGAATTTCACCAGTGAGACTGTTCTGACTGAAATCAATTGAAGTAAGAGAAGTACAGCGAGAGATCGAAGGAGGAGTTTCACCAGTAATATTGTTGTCGCTGATGTTTATCTTTGAAAGTGACTTGATATTAAAGATCTCCTCAGGAATTTCACCTGAAAAATTGTTCATTTCAAGAGACAAAACTTGTAAAGCACGCAAATTGCCGATTGCTGGAGGAATTTTACCCGTGATCCCATTTTTTGAAACTTTTAACATGCCAAGCGAAGCACCTGACATCTGGGATGGAAGTTCACCGGAGAAGAAATTCTCGTCTAACTCGATAATACTCAGTAATGGCAAGTTGAAAATTCCAGGTGGAATTGTTCCGTTGAGAAGGTTTTTCATGATACGAATCTTGGTTAGAGACTTGCAGTTGCCGAGTTCTTCAGGAAGTGGACCAAAGAAGAAATTTTCCATCAGAATCAACGTCTCCAACCTTCCCCCCTTGCATAAATCACGTGGAATCAATCCAGTGAGATGATTCGAAGCAACATCGAGCTTAAAAAGCTTCCCGTTGCGGCCAAGATTCTCCGGTAATTCATGCGTGAAGTTGTTTTCCCACACTTGAAGCACTTCGAGATGAGGAAAATCACCTAAGAATGATGGGATTGGACCGTAGAGATTATTTTTGAACAAATTGATAAGTGTAATGTTTTGCAAGGCATGGAAACTCTCCGGTATCTCCCCAGTTAGTTCATTTATGGAAATATCAAGCGACTTCAAGCTGACCAAACCAGAGAGTTGGGAAGGAATACGGCCCGTTAGACGGTTCACTTGAAGAAACAATGAGTGCAAGTGTTTCAAATTGCTCAAACTCCCAGGAATCTCACCGGTTAGATTACAGCTTGCCATGTCGAGAAGTTCGAGTTGACTTAATGACCCAAACTCAGGTGGAATTCCTCCATCATAGGCGTTGAAGTATCCAATTAACAAGTGTTTCAGGTTTTTTAAACGAGCCAGAAATGCAGGGCTTTTCCCCGTTAAACCGATGCCGTTTAGACCCAAGTATTCCAAGCTCTGGATGTCTGAGTACTTCTCCGGTATCTCTCCCGTGAAATAGTTGCCACCGAAAGATAGATGCTTTAGATTTTTCAGGTTCACGACCTCAATGGGAAGAAGATCCGTGAAGTTATTGTTATAAGCATCAAGAATCTCAAGCTGAGTCATACCTGTAAGGATTTCTCCAGGGAAACTGCCTTTGAAAACATTGTTGGAGATGTTGAATATCTTGAGAGAAGTCAATTTCCCAATCTCCACCGGAATCTTCCCTGTAAGATTAACAGTGGAAATAGTAAGGTTCACGAGCTTGTTCAGAAGCCCTATTTCCGGAGGAATGGTGCCAAAGAGAGGAGTAAACGACACGTTCAGAGCAACAACACGGAAATCCTCATCGCATTTAACACCAGAGAAACGGCAATGTGCAGATGGAGAAGGGGAGAATTCCCAGTCCTCGAGTCCTGAACCTTTGGGTCCAATCATGGAAGATTTGAGCTTCAACAGTACTTCAAGATCACTGTAACCATTGCTGCTGGCAGAGAGTAGTAGAAGAATCAGGGAAATATATAGAAGGTAAGTGTGAAAGCTTCTCATTTCTCCGTTTTGTTCCACTGTTCCTTTCTTTGCTCAGAACAGAAGAGAAGAAATGAATGTAGCGTTAATTCTATGCGGTGCAACTCAACCTTCAGAAGCTACGTTAAGTAGAGTTGTGCAGTGCCTTGTAAAGAGAATCGTAGTCCCCAAGGCCCAAGGTATCAAATTCGGATATGAAATAATAAACAAATTCAGGATCTGAAAAGTCATAGAGATAGAGAGAGAAAGGGAGAGAGTATGGATTGCATGAAATCCGTAACACCCTACAATATAGTATGGCCCCTTGTTCCCACCGTACATCACAAGATTTGACGATGTTAGAACACGGCTAGTTAACGTTCATTTTGCTTTCAGAGTTTTAATGTTTTACTAGTTTTTAAAGCTTGTCAATGTCAGCTCTTCTGTGAGTCAAAAATGAGGTCCCCATGGGAAGACTGAAACGTTAATTTTGACGGAGTTAAAACGATAGATAGTACTATTTCCGTGGGGCTAATAGAAACTGTGAATTCTGATAAGTGTGTTTTGACGGCGTGATCTGGCGGTTTGAAAGACAGGCCCCATTGTAATGCAGCTGTCTTCTGCATTAGTGTCAGGGGCTGAGCCCCGCCAGTTTAAAACAATCAAAATTCACAAGGTTGAGACTCAAGCCTTGATCTGTGTCGTTTCCCTGGCCAAAGTCATGAAAACAGATTCGTTTTATAAGGATTTACTTTGGTAAAAAATCAGTGCACATTTTCAGCTTTTGGGATCATCAAATATCAATGTGGATCCTATGCTTTTGGGAGAACTCATGGAGACCGAGGATGGCTTTGGGGTTATCGGTGGGCCCAAATTAAAGGCTATGTATGTCCTTTCCCGGAGAAAGACCTTTTTCCCCTCTGACTTCCGTTTGGCTGTAAGCTAAAAGTCCACTCTTTTTGTTCTTTTCTCCCATCTGGACCGTCCAGAGTTGGGGACCATAGTCAAAATGCCTAACACAACCTTCTTGCTTAGCTTGCCTGGTTCCCCTCCTCTCCCTTATCCAATGGTGCATGGTACAACTGAAGTAACTGCACCTTCTCCTTTTAACTATCCACGTGATAGATCACCAATGGTGGAAACTCTCGATCATCTCAGTGAAATATTTGTCTTCCTCCTACACATACACGATTTGGTATCAGCGCTATCTATAGTCTATAGTAGATAATCTAAATCTCTTTGTCCCGTGTATGACTGCTTAAGAGCATACATATCTTTTTACATATAAAAAATACACTGATGATAATGATAATAATTTTGCAATGGGAGACTTCAAATGTATTTAGTATTCGATTTTAGGCTATAACTCAACGAGTTAGAGCGTGGACTTTGACAATTGACAGCATCTATTGAAACACTTGCCAAGGTGACTTTTTTTTGGGCTATCTTCATGTTGGGAATAAAAGCAGTTAAATGAAGATATCAAAAAACTTTTTCCCTAGTAGATTACTACTATGTATGAGATCCGCACGAATCGTGGCGAAGAAGACAAGCATTTATTCTCTTTTCCAATATATCAATCCACTATAATTGAAGCATAAATTCATATTCTGTTGCTAAAAAAGAAGGTCGTTAGTGGAGAATTCTATGTTGCAAGAATATTAAGTGAGTGTTTTGGCGAATAAAGATATCCAAACCTATTTGGATATTAAGGGTTTAGATTTGGAACTTTTAAGTAGCTCTCATTCGTGCACTTGGAAAGGAGGAGAGAAATGAAGAATCCATCCACAAGTAGGACGGCAATCAAGTCCGTCTCCGACGGGTTTTGGCTCGACCCGATCTTATAGGGTCGGATTTTTTTTTTTTTTAATTTAAAGTTTCGGATCGGAGTCAGGTCGGGTAAATTTAGATAATAATCGGGTCGGGGTCGGGTTCGTGTATGCCTAAAACCCACCCTACCCGACCTGACATTATTAAAAAATTATTTTTAATTAATTAATTATTTATTATATTATATACAAGTGCCCCTTGAATGTATGGAAGATTAGAAGATACAAAAATAGACAATTACCACTTATAGTGCTTCAATGGAGACAATGAACCTCCACAAGTCCACACTTTTTTTTAATAATATATTCATTTTAAAAGTTGCACTGCTGATGGCTTAAACATCGTTTTCTTGTTTAATTTTGATTTTTAATGTTCTATTTCTCAATCATTGTAACTCTCAAGCTTCGTCTTCCAGATGCAATTGAAAAATATGTTGCCATAATCTCCAATTTGACCTTAAAAAAAGTAGGAAAAGAGTTCAGGTTCTCCCAGACTTCGTTGGCATTGGCCTCGTAAAGGACGCTTTTTTCAGAATGTAATAGGCATAGCCAGCCAGTAACTTATGTGCCCAATCCACGGGTTTAATAATGAAGAACATTTGCCAGACGAATTCAGATTTCAGGCTAGTGAGGTGAGAGGGAAAGCTACTGTAAAAGCTATAAAGAAATGTAAAATTATTATTCCTACTTGTTTTAGCAAAGCTAATGGGTTTTTTCTTCACAAGTTTAGAAATTGAGCAGCAATTGATAGATGATAGACTAGACGATATAGCACGGCAGTCATTTCAACAGAGTACAATTCCACAATTGTTCAACGAGACCTGACCAGGCAATGATGTCAAGAACATTTCTCAGCAGCGTTTAATCAATCAAGATAGAGTGCAGTATTGAGCAAAGGTCACATCTGCAGGGTTTCAAACTGGGGATGTCATGTAGCTCACAAAGCCGAGCCTTCTTTTTGTTTAAGCACACTGAAGTTGCCTATTGAGCTGTATTTTCAAAAAAGTTAGAGATACATATCCCGTAGATATAAGAGTGTTAGAACAGGAAGGTGAGATTTGCAAGAAAAGTGATGAAACATAGTGCAATACTATAGTTGCTAGTAACAGTAAACATCTGGACTAATCTCCTTTACAAACTTTCCACTGAATCTCAATTTGAATCCGACCATTCTTCGAGTAAATGAGATGAACTTTTCATTGATTCTTCTGTACTAACAACATCAATTAGTCTTACGGTAACATAACCCAAAGATTCCTGGTATAACTTAAAAAGTGTAACAACATCAAAATCAATCAGCGTTTCTACTCCCCTTCTCTGAAAAAGTGAAGGGACAGAGAGACAAATGGGCACAACTTGAAAGCCCAAAATGACAAATGGAATCTGCAAAATATACGGGACCGTGACAGCAAATGTGTTTTATTGGGTCAAGCTCTAAAGTCTAAATCCATTTCAACAGAGAAAAGCAAACTTGGTGGCTGGTGACCCCAATAAGACCCAACATTTTGCCAATGGTTCTTGGGATTACCTTTTAAAGTCCACCAACAACTTACTGGATTCAAACTCAACACTCAAGCTCTTTCCTTTTTTTTTGGATTAATTGGATTCGACCATTCTTTTAACAAACCCATATTCGGCTTTTGTTTATTCAAACGTTAGCTGGCCCTTTTGTCATGCATGAGCACCAATTTCATAGCTTTATTTTTTTTATGCCCTCTTGCCTTTTTCTTTACTCCAATTATATTCCATGGTATCCAAGCACATTTCACCTCGACAAAGGATCTCGACGAGATTTTTATCGAGGAAACCAAGATAATTTAAAGGCCGGCCATAATATAAAAGGAGCAAGACACGATCAACCCATGGCTTTTATCAAAATGGTCGGTGCATCTAACCTGATAATCTCACGTCACCACCTAATATTATATGATCTAGTGTGCACTATTTTACTTGAAGGGAAACATTAAAAACACACGCCAAATTGCATATTGTTGTTTAGTTAAAGTTAAGTAAACTTTTCATTAACAAATGATGTGTTTTAGGGATGGACGGGCAATTGTTATGATGCTTTCTTTAAAGCTATTGCCTTTGAGATCTTCCCTTTTGCCAAAGATGCTTTAGAGAGGGTTTCATCATCAACTTTTCCTCTTTATTTCTAATTACCCTGAGACTACGATTATACGAATTCTATTAAAAAAAGATTGGTAATGAACAGAGATTACGTAGAATTTTTTAATTTTTTCTGATATATCAAGCCTAAGGGTGTCTGGAAATGAATATATTTGTCTGTTTCGTATTGAGTCGTCATAGACAAATTTTATATTATAAAAACAAGTTGACTTAGAAAAGAGCTTATAATATGACCTAGTAATGAGTCCAATTAGAAAAGCCTAATTGCGAGAAATTTACAAGAATATAATTCTTGGTATGTTATCAAACTCAAATTATATTTTTAAACAAGACCTTGTCATGTGATCTCCTCAATTATTACTAATGATAAAACTAATTTATAAAGTTGGAATGAAAGTTACCACTTACTACTAATTAATTGTACCATTATTATTGTTATATTATCAAAATCACCTGCAACTTGTCCATAAAACAATATAGCATTTATGGAATGTTTTCATCTCATTGCATTTTGAATTGTATGTAAAATAACAATTTTAGGTCAATTTAATAACTCGTGTATTCATATTATATAAAATATTAATAATTCATATTTTATATAAAAATTATATTTTCAGTTCATATAATACATTTTTTATTTTTGTTAAAATTTTTTTAATCGTTTTTATATCATATTATCGTATAATACATGTTTTAAATTATCATGTCTAGTTTTAGGACCACATAAAGAAATAAAGAACGATTGAAGGAGGTGGCATGATGACTGTTAGGTGCATGTGAAAGAACGATAGGTAAAACTTGAAACAGAAGCATGAAAACTGAGCTACGAGAACCAGAAGTTTTCAAAATCATTTATTTATATTGCAACTGGTATTAATATTATCAACACCGCCAAATCTCTGCTACGATCCCTGGTTGGCATCAATAAATGATAATGTTGCCGCAGAAAGTTTTGAAACTACTACCATTATTGCTGTTTACAGCTACGTACTGCCGGCCTTAAGTTATTTCCACTGTTAGGCAACCTGCCTTTGAAACCAAACTATACGATACTGGGAATATCGGTTAATTACGTCTCCATTAATTATTGTAGTATCTATCCGGAGCTAAAGATGATTATAATTATCAAAATTTTTGTGATCTTGAATTTGTTTCAAAAATTAAATAAATAAAGTATTGAATTCTTATATTAATATCTATAAAATATTGAAATGTGATTACCAATTATATAATCATTAATTAACCTTATAATTCATCAAAAGGTCTGTCTAATTAGTATTTTTTTAGGCATTAAAAATAAATAATACAATATTCTGCTAATGCTTGGAAATTGTTAAGCATATGGGATATTAATATTATCCAATTGCATTGAAAAAAATGGAACATTATCCAAACATTTTGACTAAAAATAACGTTTGAATTTGTCCCCATTTCCCTTTTCTTTTTATGCCTTTCGTCCTTTAAAACTGAAAATTCCGAAGGTAAGTTTTCAAAAGTGAGATGGGTTAATTGTAGTTAATGGCTGAATTCGATATTCTTGAGAGGAGGCTTAATTTTTCTTTTATTTTCTTTTAATATCTTGCTTTCGGTGTCGAAGACTTTAATTTGTCCCCATTGGAAAACAATATCATGAGTCATTATC